AATGATGCATTGATTTATCTGCCTCTAAGACACATGAAAGTATCAAAATGAATGGGATGTGATTCCCACAGACACTGAACAGACCTGGTTTGGTGGTTAAGACTCTTGCTGTGCAAACTGTTCTACAAACCCATAATTGTATTCATTTATTCTCCCAGTAGCACATTTTCACAAAACCTGACTGAAAAGTAAGATTCAAATACCAAGCAAAGCAAAGTGATCACTTCCCCTTGAATTTCACTCGGATGATGCAAGCAGAAATGACACAAGTGCTGTATGGAATGGATTTTTATGCCCTGTTTGTCACAGGCTCTCCCACCCATCTCTGGGAGCACCCTAAAACCAACTTACAGTGAAGAACATCAGCTCCTGCTCTCCTTTCCTGAAGACTCTGCCTTTTCCTGCTTTTTCTTCACCTCCATCCATTTATTCTTGGATTGTGAGCATACTCCCAAGCCCCTCCCTGAAAGCCTACTAAATTCCAGTATTTACAAGTACCAAAATTGATTACTAACAGCAGCAAAGGCTTTTGGTTTTCTGCTTTGCTTTTTCTGCAATTCCTTTTAAAAGAACCCCATTTCTTCTTTAGACACATCTTGTGTCTCTGTGCTGTCCAACTCCAGCTTTTCTTTCCACACCAGAATCATGAGTATTCAAGCAGATGCAAGGATCTTTTATCAAACCATACCTGGCATTTCAGCAGCTCTCTGGATTCACCTGCTCGTTAGCACTTGAATTGCCTGCTATTGGAAATGGTTTATTCTTATTTTATTTCATCTCCCATCTCCTTGGCTAAAGCACAAACACAGAAGAATCTCTAATAGTGCAATGAAGGAAGGCTGGGAGAACAGGGCCATTTCTTAGTTTCATCTCTCCTGCCAGAAAAGATGACACCTGACTCAATTTTAATCAATGAAAAACTCAAAACCTCAACCGTGTCAACTTATCCTGGAGATCTGCTTCTCTACAAATAATAAATCAGCTCCAGCTCTGTAGACACCACACCATTACCACTCCAGGCAAGGTTAACTCTGATAAACAACATTCAGCACCTGATTTAATAACAACACACAAGTACAGGCTGCAGGAACAGGGAAAAGGTGTCAATATATTACAGGAGTTTGAATCTAAGAATAACTGGTTGGTCCTAACTTCATTCATCACTAAGTAATATTTCTAATTTGAAGATTTCCCCTATACAACCACTTCTAGTAACACTGTCTCATCATTTAAATGATACTGGAGTATTTTCTAGGAGACATTTCCAGAAAATGTGGAAATATTCTCCATAATATATGGAAAAATGGCTGTGACCTCCAGCCATTGGGCCAATTCCTCTGCTGGGATAAAAACACAGAGTCATGGGAGAAAAACACTGTGAGCAGATGGAGGTGGAAGGAGCAAAACTCAGCATTCTGTACCTGCCTCTGACTTCTCCCATCTGCTGTGCGTTAACACAGCAACATTTCATCTGCCTGCATTCCCAAATCAGTACTGGGATGGAAAACTTTGCTAAATCTTCCCACAATAAGCAGCTCAGGTAAAATTTTCCCCCCATGCTGTATTCCATTCATCATAAACCACTCTCTGGTCCTCATGACAGAGCTGTAAAGAATTTTTTCTATTTTACAGTAGATGAGATAGCTTCCTCTATTTTCAGTATAGATGAGTTTGAGAAATAAAAGCAAACTTAGCCAGATCTTCCCTGGATTTGTTGGTTTTATTGGCAGGAGTTCAATCACCTCTGTGTTACTGTTTGAGATGCCTGCACAATGCACTTTCCCTTCTCCCCCTGAGCAGAACTCTCCCCTCCCACCCAACCCATTATCCAAATGTTCTCTGATAATGCTCAGGGAAGACTTATTCTTGCTCTCAGTTCTATTGTTCTCTCCCTGGTAGTGACAGATTCATTTAATATTTTTTAAAGAATGCCAACGCTCATTCTATTCAATAGGAATCTGAAATTTAAAGAAATCCACCTTTTTTTTTTTTTTTTGCAAGTCATTATCCCCAGCTAATAGATATCCCTCCTGAAGCAGCAGTAGAGATGAAGTAATTTCAGGTACTATCACATTTCTATTCAGATCACAGGCAGCAATTCTTGCAGCGATTTTATTTCTCAGCAAAAATCATTATTGTCCCTCCTGAATTACCCTGAAGAGTTCTATTTTACTCCCACTACCTCTTCTCAACATTTCTTGATTAAAAAATAGTACATGATATTTGTTATCAAATATCAATACATAGACAAGAGTGGGAGAAATGGGGACTGGGGAAAAAGCAAAGGCACTTTAGAAAACATAAACCTTTAATAAGCAGGAAGGAGAATTTGAAGCAGCCTGAGAAAGACTGTGAAGCTGCAGATAGAAGAGTGCAGCACTTAGAGGAAACCAGAAGAAAAAGGGACAGAAATCCAAGGATCCAGCCCAAATCCATCCCTCCATGGTCTGGCAGTGTCTTTAAATTTACAACTTCCTAAAGCTCCCAGTAATAATTCCTTCAGTTAGATTTTCTTAGCTCTGCAGGTACAACCAACTGCCTGATGAGATTTAAGAACAAAAGAAAGGCTTTAAAAGACTCAATCACTCAGCTTAATGAAAACATCTTGAATTATTTAACAAACAATCTATTAGGCAGCTCCAGCTATCAGGAAACATGAAGTTTGATAGATCTGACTCCCTGCTGGAGTTTTATGTCACAGTGACTCCAGCCCTTCCCATGCAGTCTCAGGGATGTAACACAGGAGTGAATTCAGCCTGAGATTGAGCTGCATTAGACTTTCATATAGGATCTGTCACTAAGAGCAGGAAAAGCAGCCAACAATTATTTTAAAAAAGAAAAAAACCCTGGAAATAAGCTTTTCAGGCCCTGGAACTGAGGCATTATTCAATAATTCGCTCTCAGGTCCATTTGAATTCTCATCTGTCAACTCTCCTTTTATTACCAGACTGTTCTATAAGCAATGATCTGGCAACACACTTGAAAAATCTACGTATTCCTCCTCATCCATCACAACAAACAATTTTCCAAGCAACAACAGAGACAGTGTAATTTCAAGAGCAATAAGCTCAACTCCTAACTCATTATTTTTATGCCATTGTGGTGTGGCATAAGAAGTATCATGGAAAACAGGAAACCTTTTCCTCTTTCCATCACAACCCTCTTCAATACATTAAAATCCACTCCTAAGAGTGCATTTAGAACTCTTCCCATCACTCAAAAATAAGCAAAAGATAATTAAAGTCCAAGTTACCGATGCTCAAGGAAGACAATTGAAATCTTCTTTGTTAAGTCACTATTTCAACATCTGAGGATACTTTGTTACAGACAACAAAAGGATTCAATCACGGGAATATAAAAGAAAAATAAAAATACAACTCCCTGAGACAGTTTGACCAAGAAATTCAGTAAAGCCCCCACCCTCTCAGTACAAAATGACAGGTGTTCATCAAATCTTGTTCTGCACTTGTAGAAACATTTTTTAGTTTAGAGAACACATTCAGCCAGAGAAACACTACATCATTCTTCAAAACATTCCTTTTTAACTGACACAAACCTAATTTCCATGCAAATATATGAAGCACAAAAAAACCAAGTTCCTAAAAATAAACCTCCACCTCTCAGAACATCATTCTCAAAGTTAACTTTTGACAAACTAACAGAAAGGCTGTGACTTTGTGTAGCAAAATGTTCCAGCAAAAAGCATCAGTGCAGGGAGAATTATTGAAAGATATTCTTCCAAAACCTACTATACAGGGTAAAAAAAAGGATCCTGTCAAGTCATCAGAGAAGCTAAAAACCTCTTGTATACATTTCCACTTTTCAAGATATTTTTGTATTTCCGTTGGTGTGACTAAGCACTTTCCAAGCCAGAGATTTCCAACTGAAAGACAGTGTTCATTTGGAGAGGGTCCAACCACCTCCTCCTTTCAGGGAGCTGCTAATGGTTGATGTTCATGTTTAAAACAGCATTAATCATGCCTGCAAACAGGGAGAAGGGGGTTGCCAGACATTCAAAATACTGAGTATTTCCTTATTCTGGCATAAATCCACACTCCTACAACCTCGAGTCTGAGGGGATACAGATTAGATAATCAGAGAAAGAGGGGGGGAAATACCCAAACTATGTGTTCACAGTGACATCATTTCAATTCCTGGAACTATCCAAGGAGAGGCACTTGGAAAGGCCCTGTAGCACAATATTACTGCTTTAGAGAGACCAAAAAAAAATATTAAAGGACCTTTATGGCAGTGAATGATTAACTCTGAGTGACATCAGCCTGTGCTGAGTATCACCAGCCCCTCTGTAAATCAGACAGGGCTGGAAATCCATAGCAGAACCTTGGCTTGTGGTACACATCTCCTGCCAAAATGGGATATTACACAGAGAATGGAGCATGCAGCACACACACAGGCTATGTCCTATAAAGGATATAACTTATAAAAGGTTATACCCAGCCTTTAGGCCAGGACAAGGCAGATCCCTTTTGGTCCAGCCCTGCTCAGTTTCCAAGCCAGCAGGGGCTTGGCCCTTGTGAATGCTTGGCTCTTGCATGGCTCTGAACTCACCCAAATTTCTGCTTTCTCTTTTTGTACCTGCCCTCCTCACTATAATATGGAATTCCAGAGGTGTTTCCAGCCCACCCTCCCATTCCCTCTGATTTTATCCCCCCTCTGCAGAGCAGTGGCACAGCTTGGAGCCCAGCCTGAGTGTGCAGGTGACAGAGTTTGTAGCACACACAAGAGAGAGCCACGGGGCTATTAATGAACCCAACTGCAACAATTCCAATCACTTGGCCTCTCTTTGCTAAGACAGATATTCCCTGGACTACATATTCACATATTAAAGAGCATTTAAGCCAATTCAAGTGCAGTCACTTCAAAAGCAGCAAGGTGTCACAGGTAAGAGTTAGTGCCAGTGATTGATGACTCAAACACTTTAAAAGAAGATCTAAACTCAGTTACAAAATCTAATCTCTTCAACAAAATGCTTTACTTACTGGACCTTGAGGACTGTTCTTGGCACTGGAAACCAGAGTCATAACATCAGATTTATAGTCCTGAAAAGAGAAAAGGGGGGAAAAAATAGTCAGATTAAAGATAATAGATGGCACTTTACATGTCAGGAATAAAGACCAGCATTGAGCACCACTGTGATTAGACTCAGAGGTGCCATTAGTAAAACATTTGATTATACAGAGTTTCATTGCTGTTCATCTTGTACCTTAGACCCTTTGACTGAATTACACACTTTGTTGGTTTTACCATAACGATCCCCAAGGAAGGCAGCAGCCTGATGTCTCTTTTGGGAGGCAGTGGGGTGGAAGGACAGGATTTCTGCCTTCCAGAAACTCAGGGGAGAGCTCCATTGCACTTCCTGAACCAGCCCTGCACGTGAAATTTGGGTGAGAGGTTCCCAGCCACTCAAAATTCTCTCAGCACCTGCTGACAAACGTCTCTCCATTCCAACAGAGGTTTCTCTCCTGTAAATGTTGTTCCTAAGCCCTGCAGCACAGGCTGAGCAGGAGGCAGGCCCATGGCTATGCTGGCTCACTATTCTTGTGTCACATCTCCATCTAGGTGCACCCTAAAGCAATGTCAAATCCCTCATTTTCTACCTCTCAGGAAGCTTCTCTCCTACAGCCCAGCTGGCATTTCACAAGCCACAAAGCAGTTTGGGGCTTGGGCATGAGAAGAGCTGAGCACTCTGCTGTTACTGCAACACAGGAACAGAGGCTGGGAGGGTTTTTAACAGCTCAGAGAAGAACCAGAGTGTCTAAACACAGGTGCAATAAATTCAGCTGCAAAACTCAGGGCAGTAAGTCTTGAAACAGTTCTGATTTTAAAAGGATCTGTTAGTTAGCATGCTAAATTTTTGCCTCTTTCTCAATGAATACAGCCATCACATTCATATTTGTATTTTGAAAAGGCCTCCCAGAGCTGGCCTCCTCTTGTCATGCCATCCTGTCAATAAAGATCAGATTTACATGGCAAGCCAAGCTACACAGCTCCCCATGTTGTTTGGGAATAAAAGTCTGATAAGCTGAAATTGAGGCCTATCTGTCCAAGACAGCAAAGAGTAACTGCTATAAACTCCTTTTAATTATCATCATCAAGCATGCCTCCATATATAAAGCTTCTAGAGCCTTTATTTATAGGAGATGTGCTATGAGCCAGGAGACAGATCATATTTCAGGGAGCTGCTAGTAATTCTCCATCCTTCACCCTGAGTATCCCCAAGTCTCTGAACTGTATAAATGAGAGTAGCCCCCAGTGTCCATTCAATTCAGCCACTGCAAACACCATCTCCTTCACAGGAAGTGCCACCAAACCAACTTCACAAGGTGTCAATAGATAAACTACCACCAAAATCCCCTCCCAGACAAACCCCTGCAGCCCAATCCATGTCTCCCACAGAGGATGGCAGTCAGTGTTGTCCACCAAAAAGCTGCAAACTGAGACCAACATTGAAGAAAACCACCGAGCAAATCTGTGTTCCAGTCCTGGGTGGTGTCACAGTGCCTCTGTACCCTTACCCACTGCTGTGCCCTTAAACAACTGTGCCTTTGCTGCCTTTTCAGGTTTTCACTCCTGCCACTCTCCTCCCTTTCCCTGCTCCTGCTTTGCCATCACTCTGTGCAGCAGGATGCATGTGCAGCTCTTGGTATTCCCTGCCCATTTCCTTCCCCCCTGGTTCCAGAGCTCCTCAGGCTGCACCATCTCTCACAGCTGCACAGGGCTCAGGAAGGACTGGGGCAATCCAATCCAACCTTTTTGCAGGGCTGTTCCTCCTGGGAAACTCCCTAGCAGAGACAGCACGTTTTCTTTCACACCACTCTTCCACAAGGCAATGCCCCGAGTTCCAAATAAATATGACATTTTAAGCAGCTATTTTGCAAATATACTTCTTTTTCCTCCCCAAGCCAGCTAATCTCTAAACATTGCACAGCTCTGTGCAGCAGTAACAAATTAATAAACAGCTTTAGGCCAGGGCTGCATGTGGGACAGCTCCTTGGGAAGCTCGTGCTGTGCTCCCTATTAATAACTCCCTCACCACCTGTGAAAATCCAGGCACATTGAAGCAGAAAATAAAAGCAAAAATAGCAAAACTCCTCAGGTTTAGGTTGTTTTTAGGGGGGTAGAGAATTCCAACAACAATTCAGATTAATCTAAACCTGTTAGCAAGAGCCCAAATCCTTTCTCCAGTAATTCCAGATGCTTGGACTGGGATCCACCAAAGCCCCTTCTCCTCCTCCTGCATCACACAGGCTGAGATCACCATTCCCTCACTCCAGCTGCAACAGCAGCTCTGATAGACAAAGGAGATTAATTCCCATCATAATGATTTTCACATCTAAGACACTTTCCTCTACACCATTTCTGTATTTACAGCAAACAAAAAATTGGTTTGTGGAGTTGCTTTCACACTCATTTTCAGGTAATGTGTCATAATAATACCTGGTACATGTTCAGGTTATGCAGAGTATTGTGCCACTGACAAATCATTTAACTATGCACTTGTCTTGGAGGCTGCAGGAAAATGGAAATTACACAGTTTCAACACTGCAGCAGCACAATAAACAAAAACTTTCTCCCTCCTGTAGAGCTACACTTCATGCTCCTAGCAGTGCCTCCTCCAGGTAATTTCTTTTGAGTCTCTTGTTTCCATTAACATTTGTATTTTGAGGTGATTTCTACTTGGTACTGGAAGGTGTTATTGCAACAACCATTTACAAGCTATTTTATTTTCAGGGTCTGTTCTGTTACCAAAGGCAGCTATGCTGTGCCCATGCCAGGCTTTCCAGAAGTTTCTTATGATTCCCATTACTGCCCATCTGCCCTTAGAGGAATCAAGAAAGAGCAATAAAACACTCCCTAAATTTTATGTGGGGCACAGCCTTCTCCCCACCCCTCAAACTGAAAGTTTGGACTAAATGTCAGCTAACAGACATTACTTTCCATTCTTCTGACTTTAATGGGAAAAATAAATTTTGGCAGTCTTTCCCCAGTGTTAAAAGTCTTAGCTACTCCCTGGGGATAGAAAGAATCAATGCAAGTAAGATCCATATTTTCTTTCTTGGAACACCACTACTTCCAGCAATTTATTTGACTGACTATGCCTTCTATTACCATGTAAATTGTTTCAGGCTGCAGGAAAAAAAAAAAGTATTAATCTCCCCTCAGTAAGTCATAAAATAAAGAAATCAATTTCAAGGTCAATTTAGTCTAAATAACACCTGCTGCCCTTTTTGTAACATGCAGACTCCTCTGAAACACTAAGTTGCTGTCTATAAAGGCATCAGTACGTGATGTCTCACATAAATCAGGGTGCTGGATGGTCCAGGGCAGCTGATTTGCAGGGTACAAAGTGGGGCTGGCAAACAAGCCCCAGAGCAGGGCCCTCTTCATCACTGCTCTTCATCATCAGCACAAGGCTTTGCACAGAAAATAAAGCCAGGGGAGCCTGGAGTCTGCAGGGGGCTGGTTCTGCAGGGAGTTTGTGCCTTGTCACCTTCTGGGGACATCCAGGGAGTCCCAGGCCCCCCATTCACAGCCATGAAGGGCCAGCAGCACAAGGTGAGCTTCAGAGAAGGGGAAAGGACAAAATAAATAGTAGGAACAAGAAGAAATCTTTCCTTCTGTTGGAATCTTTCCTTCTGTGGGAAAGCAGAGTGGAATGGCAGAGACTGGAAATAGGAATTAAGATAATGGATTTTTTTCCCTGTCCTAGAATTCAGAAAAGGGAAGCTACTTGAAATATTCTCTTTTATTCCACTTTTAAGTGGAAATCCATTTCTCTTCTGGTCAAAAACTGTCCAATCTTTCTTTTAAATATACTTAATGTGCTCTCCTTGTAGCCCAAGACTGCATTTGATGGCTCTAAGGTGGCTAGACATCCATGCCCTTCTCCTGAAAAGTTTGCCTTGAACTCTGTGACTTTTCTGGGCTGGGACAGAAAATTCCAAAGCCTCAGGACTGGGTGGCCTGGCCACTGTGTTCCTCCCCACTGTGGTACTTCTTTCCCATCAGATGAATACAACTATTTTTCCTTTGCCATGTCCAGTTCACAGCACTGCTGGAGCTTTGTTAAATCCAAAGTTCCTGACAGGTTTTTATTTGTTCCTCTGGGTCCTCCAGCAGAAGACAATCTGGACAATCAATACCCAAGCAATACAAGTTGCTTCAGGAATGAAGCAAATATTCAGATATTCTGGAAAGGGGACTCCATATTCCTGTAAGACTTCTCTAATGAAAATAAACCAATGTCCTGAAGGCTTCTGAAAAGGGCTGAGAACCTAAAGATGCACAAGGCTGAGCAGGCAGCAAACTGAAATCAATTTACAGCAAATGCTCTGACCCAGGAGTCCTCTAAAGCAGGAACAGATTGTGCCTCCCTGCCAGAGCTGTACCCCAGCTCTGCCCCAGGACATCCAGGAGAGGGAACAGCCCCAGGTGTCCCCAGGCTCACAAAGAACAACGCTCAGAAATGTCACTGCAGCAGAGCTCTCTCTCAACTGTGGGCATTAGTAGGTGGTCTCCAAGGCCTTCCCAGCATTTATTGCATGAATCTGGAATTATTGAGGGGTTTCACCTCTTGTTCTACACAGCAGAAATACCTTCCTATGGTGCCCAAAGAGAAAACCAACCCCAACTCTATCATTTAGAGCAGGGAGTGCACAGCACCATCCCTGTTCCACAATTCATAGTTAGCACTGGAATGTGGAGCCATTTCATACATATACTGACTTTGAATGTCTCCTGCTTTAGCTGGAAGACAACATTTCACCAAATAATAAAAATATAATTTTATCAACTCTGATATATTCATATATTTATAGAGTATAATGATTCTCCTATGATGATACACTAGCCAAAAGGAATGCTGCCATTTTCCATCAGATAACACTCAGTGAGTCAAAGGTTACATAGAAATAAATTGGAAAATATAAAGTCACAGAAAAAATCATTTATTTATTGGATATAAGAAAATATTTCATTTTTTAAATCCATGATCCTGAATCCTATTTAATGCAAACTTCTCTGTGAAATCCCACTATCA